CTTTCAAAATGTTGTCCTCCTTACTTGCACTGGAGTCAGCTGCTGTGTGTGTGTGTGTGTGTGTGGTGTGAGCATGTGCGTGTGGGGGGGGGTGTCTGTCAGCTTGCCTTTGTCTCTCGTGCTGTTGGCTTTCTCCAGCATCTGGTGAGCCTCAAGTTTAAATGAAGATCGCTGCCCTGCGTTTTCAAGGAGGCTGGGCAGGTGGATACGCTCGGGGTGCCTTCCCGAGATGGGAGCTCGCGGACGTATGTACACGTGGACCATAGACCTTGCAGGTGAGTAAGCAGGTGACTGGCCTTCAGGCTGAGGGGCCCCGAGTGGAATAGACAGGCCATAAACTGGGGCACCAACACCCCAAGAGCAGATATAGCCGCCCCCTCTGAGAGTTTATTAGATTACTTCAGACTTTTCCTTCCGGCTGCGGGTTAAATGCCTGGCTGTATGTGGTCTGCCTTCTTGGGAATTTGGAACTAGAAGGCAGAGCTGGGAGAAGAGTGTGGGGAAGCAGGTGGCAAAATTATAAGGGAAACAGACTTAATGGTCCCCCTTCGGCTGTTGCCGGTTCTTCTTCTCGCCCCTGCCCTCCTTCGATACCAATTCCAAGCCCAGGGCTTCCCCCCTGGGGTCCGCCTGGGTGGACTGGCCCCCTCAGGGTGGATTCTGGCCTGTAGCCCCTCCTGCCCTGTGTGATCTGTCCACCTGCTTTCATCCTGTTTCCAGGAACTGACGGAACCATCTCCTTCTAGTTTCCACACTCCTTACTCCTTTTTCTTAAAAAAAAAAAAAAAAAAAAAAAAAGAACGTACACTATCGCTTTTCAGGGGATCTCAGGATGACATCTCAACCCAGAGCCTCCCGAGGTATCTCTGATGAACTGACTTTCAGGAGTTCAGGTGGAAGGCGCAGACGAAAAGTGGGTGGGAGACAGCATGTTTTAACAGGGAGTATCTGTCTTATCAGAGGAGCAGAGAGCAATCATGAAAAAGGAGGAGAGAGAAAGAAGGCGCAGAATGGGGGCCAGCTGAGTAGGAAAAAATGTAGCAAGTGGCAAAGTAGGGCCATGTGGCCTCAGCAGACTCGCAGAGCGTCCAGGAAGATGTGGGCAGTTCTGATGCTGGGACATCGGCCCCAGAGCCCTACACAGCAGCAGCCTCGTCGGATTTACCTCCCCTCTGAGGATCGGAGCCCTTACGAGGAAACCCCTTGGTCTGGCATTGAAGGCCCCCGATATCATGCTGCCATATGACCCTTCGAGTCCTACTGCTCCCTCCCGGGCCCCGTTACCTTTTTCCTAGTGACACCGGACTTCTTGCCAGTGCTCATACCATCCCTGTGTTTCCCCGCCTAGCCCTTCACCGACACTTTTCTTCTACCTGGAAGGCCTTCAAGCCCACCTCTACCTTGAAAAAGTCTATCCACCACACTTGGGAGGAGGGAGGTTGGGTGTGGGGACAGACAGGCAAAACACAGTCACAGCTGTGAAGGACCAGGTAAAGTTTTGCTTTCCTCGGTGAAATGTAATCTGAGAGATGCGAGCAGACACCAATTTGCAATTCTATTTATATACAGCCGCCGGGGCTTAATCTCAACCGATTGTATTGTATTCCATGCTAGAAAAGCCTCCAGGAGGCTTTTATGGCGCCCCATGGCATAGAAGGAACAAGGCCCCCTAGTCCATTAACGTCCTCAAGGGGGAGCACGTTCTCGCTCATGAAACCCTCAGTGGCATATCCTGCAGAAGTAATGGCCGTCCAGCTTCCTCATCTGTAAAGTATCTCACCTGCTCCGTCGGCCTCGGTGGTTGGGGGGGGGCAGGGGAGGGTCAGATGTGATACATAAAGTAAGACACCTGTGAGCTCTCAAGCAGCGTTCAGAGAATTCCTAAAGATATCACTGCACAGGAAAACAATCTAGCCATGCTCCTGTACCCTGGGACCCTCTCTTGTGGCACCTGCCACACCCTCCTTCAAGGTATAGTTACTTGTGGGCAGATACATCTACTGTTGCAACAGTCACGCCTCCTGAAAACGTGACTGTCTGCAAAGGTGCTCAGTAAAAATAACAGACTTACGGAAAAACGGGATTGGGGCGGACCAGTCAAAAGGGACAGAAGTTAGAGGGGAGTCTGGGCGGCTCAGTCGGGAGGGCATTCGACTTTGGCTCAGGTCATGATCTCATGGTTTGTGAGTTCGAGCCCCGCGTTGGGCTCTGTGCTGATGGCTCAGAGCCTGGAGCCTGCTTCGGATTCTGTGTCTCCCTCTCTCTCTCTCTGCCCCTCCCCTGCTTGTACTCTCTGTCTCTCAAAAGTAAATAAATGTTAAAACATTTTTTTAA